ATTAATAGCACTTGCCACTGCCAGAGCATTTAAAGGTCCCCATGAATCTTTCATTCCCAAGCTGTGCATCAAGAAAAAGTAAACATATAAGGAACACAAGTAATTTTATGATCATGCACTTGCTTTGCTTCATGCAAACCCGGAGCTATACAACTAATTTGCAGATTCTAGCCACGGATCACACTTAATTTAGTTTAGGTCTCAGAGATTTAAACATGGCTACATGTTAGAGAGACTGTCTTAATAATCACATTTAAAATTAAAAGTTTGCATTAGTGAAAATAATGCAGAAGAAAAATTGCACGAAAGTAGGAGTGAAGGATATCTATAGCCATCGATTAAACAAATCACTAAAATGACAGTTCTGATTAACGGATACATTTTTAGATACTGAAAACGAAGTGAAGCCAGAATAAAACACTAGGATAAGGCAAGATAAAAACTAGTACACAATACTGCCAAACAACAATAGGTGGGAGGGTGGGAAGCAAAGTAATAAGTAGGAAATTTAGAAAATACGTTCAGCAAATAAAAACATGATGAACAAGTGGTGCATGGTGATGGACCTTGCACTTTGAGCAACCCAACCAATCAGAACTGCTGGCCATGCCAAGCCTCGAATCTGTAAAACCATATGGTTTACTAACCCTAAAAGATGGAAAAACGAGTAATTACTGCCAAGACTGACAAGAAGTACAGTTATAAAGCATGCAGGCAACGGCAAACCTGGACATATGTGTTTGCTGCAGTTATGATTTCCACATTACTTGCTCCCGTAAAAGCTGGAGATTTGACGCAAAGAAATTCATCAGCCCATGATGGAAACAATAAATAGAAAGAATATAGAACAGTGGACAGAGTTTTTCCTTCTTTACCAGTCAATGCCCAAGTACCATAGCACCTCGTAAAGAACAGCATTAGAAAACCACTGACCAACCCAATAAACAGCAAGACAGATATTTGATGCTGCACCTCATCTTTATCCTGAGAGACTTGACCACAGCCAAGTATTAGTGTATAACCGTATATTAAAATACATTGAATATTATTAATCCCACAAAATTCGTACAAAGAAACAACATAGAGAATTCAAAACTAGATTCAGACCTGTCTAGCAAGAGATGTTGCAACCAAATTTGCAGTATCAATTGAAAACACGACACGTAGCTCGTATATCATGAAACACCATAATAAAATACACTGAATATTATTAATACCCACAAAATTTGTACATAGAAGCAACACAGAGAATTTGAAACTCGATTCATACCTGTCTAGCGAGAGACGTTGCAACCAAATTTGAAGTAGCAATTGAAAGAAACATGAACACATAGCTTGTATTATCACAGAACACCGTCCCGGGACCTGCCAAAATCGCGTACACAAAAACATAACAGGATCAGCACAGTTGACATTACTACTATATCTCAGCCAAACACAGCCAAATATCACAACAATCAACCAAACGAATAGATAAATTCATAATTTAACCTAAAGCAGCAAGCTCAATGGAGCTGCCTTGACCAATAACAGCAGTGTCGATCAAACTCATCAACGGGCCGCAAACCCAGAGCCCGACGGCCGGCCCGGAAAACTTGGCAATTTCAACCATCTGACCCCATAAACCCTCTTTTTCCGATAATTCTTCCTTTTTATTCTCAGAATCGTCCTCTGCCGATGGCGCCTTTTCTACCACGGCTATGGTTTCTTCTTTACCTTCTTCAACCGATAAAACTCGATCAGAATTGCCTGTAACTCCATGGCTAGGAGAGGCGCAATTGGAGATAAAACCCCGATTGATTTTCAGCTTCAGTAATCGTACAGTGGGTTCAGGTACGATGTATTTTCGAACGAATTTTCTGCTTCGTGGGTGGTGGTTAGGGTTGCAAGAGTATTGAATTGGCGCTCTGAGATTCATGGCCGGAGCTTTTGTCGGCGCTGCCGCGCTCCAAGCTTAGAGAGAGAGAGTAGCGCCAAATGTGGAATGAAGAACCTGATGACACAGTGTAGAAAATGTGTGGAGATGAAAATGCTCGGACCATTAACAACGGTCGTCTTGTGTTGTGTGTGTGCATCTATGGCCGAGATAATTTTGCCTCTTCCAAATTCCAACTACCACTTTTTTTTTTTTTAATATATTTAAACTTATACTTACAAACTTTAATTTTATAAAATAGTAAATAAATTATACTATAGTATGGTTAAATATAATTTTTTTAAATCATTAAACACTTATAAATATTATATAATTTTACACAATTGTTAATATTAATTTTATTGTTATTGTACATTTCATATATAAAAATTAAAATTTATTTTCAGTATATTTTTTTTAAAAAAAATTAAACATATAAGGCGTCTAGGTCGTCATCAAGACCGCGTAATAAATGTAGACTTGTTAGGGGTATTAAATAATGGTATTAAATCTTCAATGTGGTTAGGGGTTATAACAAGTTCAAAGATTACAAAAAGCCACAATTTCTTCTCATAAAACAGGAATAGACTTGTTAAGAAATCGAACGTTCTCGCAAACAAAAGCCCGTTCGAGCTTGTTCGTGTTCGACAAGAACTTATTCGTTTGTTGTTCAAACTAAGTTAGACTAATTAAGCTTGTTTAAAAATTGTACGTTCACAAACTCATTCAAAAACGTTCGATAATGCTCGCAAACATTAATTTAGTACAATTTGATATATTTACATGACATTTTTAATAAAAAATCTAAACAATTTTTTTTATTTTTTGTTTTTTTCGAGTTCGAACTAACAGCTTTCGAGTTGACCAATCATATTTAAAAAGTTTGTTTCTTAAATTATTTAAACACAAATAAACTTGAACTTTAATTAACAATTAAAAGAATGAGTGCAAACACTATTTTTTGCTCAAAAAATACACGAACAAACACAAACAGTATTCAAAAGTAAACAAACACAAGCTCGAATTGCCCAAGCTCAGCTCATTCGGTTCAATTACAACAATAGTAATGCATAGCTTAAAATCACAAATTTTACTTTGTTCGATCTATTTTCCTTTCTTATATTGGTTGGATGCCCCAAAGCTTAAGAAATATTTGCAGATATACAACAAACTTATAATAGCAATACATTTTACATATCTAACAAGATTAATTTACAAGGGTTCTCAACCAAAACTAACATGTGGAATCTACACCAAAATTACACAGTTTTCATTTTCTCAAGTTTATAACGAGACATATCTTCAGAATAAAGTATCCCATCTGGGAAGGTGAGTCGTCGCAGCAAACCCGTAAACAGAGACTGTTCATAATACCAACACTCGTCATAAAATGATACACAATAAAAGTGTAAGGCTACTTAGAGACAATCACACATTTTCAATAAATATGTATATTTTCATAGACAAATATATATACAAATATGTATACTTTACATCGAAAAATTTTACTTTGAAAAACAATGTAAACAAGAATGTAACATTTCATTGTATAAGTATTGAAGTTCGTTCAAAAAATATGACAGACCCGCCTACCCGCTAGCCTGCCTCATACAAAAGTTTGTTGCCTAACGATTAGACGGGTCGACCCGTCATTTTATGACATCTATGTTGTTTTTCAAAGGTATGATGTTTTTTAATATAAATATGCATATTTGTGAGAAAAGTATAATGGTCTAATAGTTAGGCCGGCATAACAAAAGATACCCACCCCACAATGTATCGTGAAATGAAAATATGTTTGAGCTATAAACTTACCAATTGAAATGCAACAAGTCCAAACCAACACCCAGTTAAACCATAACCATTCCTGCTCAACACCTGCACCAATAAGAGAGTGTTCATAGTGCATATAAACTAAAGCATAAATTCAAAAAGAAATGTGTAACTACAAAAGCTACCCGTGAATGTATCAGTAAAAAAAATAATAATAAAAAAATAAAATATATATGTAAATTACAAAGAACTCCGTCGTGATGATGTAAATTTGTAATTTAGGAACAAATGCCAAAAGGGCTGTTTCTAAACTTGCAAGTTATATATCGTAATATT